CAAACATTTTGGACGCAAGAGAGAAACCTATAATCACTATGCTAGAATGGATAAGAGAGTATTTGATGAGGAGGCTACAACAAAACAGGGACAAGGCAGCTGCAAAGTGGCAAGACAGGTTGTGCCCCAAAATTCAACAGATTTATGAGAAGCATTTGGAGAAGGTGTCTGATTGCATCCCCATAAAGGCAGCTGACAACAACTACCAAATCACATGTTCATATGGAGATCAGTATTCTATGGCTCTTGATAAGATGAAATGCAGTGGTAGAGCATGGGGATTGAGTGGTATACCATGTTCACATGCCATGAGAGCCATTCTCCACCAAAAAGGGATCCAGTGGGCTATGAAGACCATTGCTACTCAGTTGAGGTTTATAAAAAAGTTTATGGACCAGCCATAATGCCTTTGAGTGGTGAATCTTTATGGGGGAAAAGTTTGTACATCCCTCCTTTGCCACCAAATTTTGGAAGACGCAGAGGCAGACCAAGTTCTCTTAGAAGGAGAGAACCTGATGAGGCAAACCCTAAAAGAAAGAAGTCATCAAATGATCCCCACAGACTGAAGAGGCAACAAAGCACACTAAGATGTAGGAAGTGCCATGAACCAGGTCATAATGCATTGACTTGTAAAAATCCAGCCATGAAAAGGGTAAGTTAATGTTTTCATTATTTTTAATATTATATATTTGTTAAGTGTTTGTATGTGTAACACTGTGATCATGTGTATATACAGGCTAAGAAAGGAAAACAAAGTGAAGGCCAAACCCATTCCAATGAAGCACCAATTGGGAATCCACAATCTGAATTTAGGGAGAAACTAAAGGTAATATAATCTCTCCATTTTCTTGTTAGTTTGTACTTGCACTTATAAAATGTGAACTTTTAAATGTGTTTATATAGGTCACCAAAGGAAATGGAAGTGGTAATCAAACTCATACAAATGCAAATCCTACAGTTCTACCTCCCAATCCAGATGATGTGATGTTTAGTCAAATTTCTGATGAGGATTTGGTTGCAGCCATTGAAAGCCAGGCTGATAGCACATTGTATCAGCACATGCAGCCCCATAAGACAGGCCCTACTCCATTTCAACAGTTGAAGATGTCCTCAGTTTCATCCCCAAACCCCTTTCAAACAAGGATCAACATTAGAGCACTCCCACCAATAATAGGTGGATATACACTGCCAGTATTCAGTTCACAACCAACCAGCTCAAAGTCCATTGTTATTGATGGTGGCCAAAAGTTCATGGACCTTTCTCAAAATTCAGTTTGTGTGCAGAAAGGAAAGAAAAAGAAGCAGTAACAATGGAAGTCTGTGTGCTTGATGTTTTGGAAGTGTTATTGGTCTGATTACGTTGTTTTGTAAGTGCTTTTGGGTTATAAGTGTTGGAAGTGTTGGACAATAACATCTTTTTTGAAGTGTTTGTTGTTTTGAAACTGTATTTGGGAGTGTTTGTTGTCTCTCTTAGTTTGTGACTACAAGTTTAAGTTGTTTTGATGATAAATATGGGGTGTGTTTGCTGTTTAGAACTGTGATTAAACAGCTTTTGTAATGACACTTCTGTTTTATATATAATTCAGTTTATGTTTTGTTGATAAGCATGTACTTTACTTATGTTGTAGACATTGTACTTTTTATGTTTAAAACTCTTAACAAACAATACTAACAAAAGTATATGAAATAAAGAAGAACATATCCATGAATAAACATTAGTACATAGTCAAACATTCATTACATAAGCTGCAAATTGAATACACTGAAGCAAGGAAACAAAACAACACAACCAAAAGAACCCATACACTTCAGTTCAAAAGAACCCTTACATTTCAAAAGAAAGACAACAACAACATAATCCATACATGATAGTTCAAATTTCAAATGGAACAAAACAACAACATTCATCCATACAGTTTCCAAAATGATCAGCAATGATGAGAATAACCCTACCACTTCAGTTTTTCAGAATCACCGTTACACTTCAGTTCTTCAAAATGATGAGAATTGACACAACCAAAAGAACCAACACAAGAATAATTTTCTTTAATTTTCTGTTATTTGCAGCCAAACTTAATGTCTCTGCCTTCAGCTTCAAAATCTTTTCTTCACTTGCATTCATCTTCTTCAAAAGTCCAGGAATTAGTGATTTGGCCCTACGACACATTGGGGGGTCATACCAGTCAAAGAAAACACAACCTCCTCCTTCCTGCAATGTTCCATTTGAAAATTACAAAAAAGAAAAAGAAAAAAAAAATCAGAACCTGAGGAATCTGAATAATCATTCACTTAAGAAAAAAAAAACAACAGAACTTACCTCTTTCTTCAAGCAAGCATGAAAGCGCCTACCAGGGTTCTCGTTCGTCCACGAGGTCCGTATCACAGCCCTACGACCACAATAACAATCAACACTTCCCGTCACAAAAGACATCTCGTGCGTATGAGATTTGTCTCGCCAAGAACAGATTTTTGGCGTGTTCGAAAGTTGTGAGAAGAATTCAAGAACTAGGGTTCTAGGCTGCGGGCGAGAAGAAGAAATGAAAAGGCCGATTTTGTCAATTTTGGACATTTTCCCCAATTATATTGTGTTTTCTCGCCCCCTGTGCCTCGTCATCTGCCAAGGAGGATTTAGTAGCCATGTCATCGGCCACGCTGTTAATTGATCGGCCAGGTGTGATATTGTGAAGCCACGTCGACAGCTCCGGACCGGAAAAGGCATCGGGGACCACAATTGTCCTGCTTTTGATGGATTTTAAAAAGTTAGTGGACCAGTTTTGGGAAAGACCATTCCATTGGGACCAAAAGTGGAATACCCGATAGTTGTGGGACTACTTTGATATTTTCCCAAATTAAATATATAGCCGTTAAAAAATCAATCAATACTATATATCAAACACAATTTCAATAAACAATTTTTAAATTAACACGAGGCGCACACGGGCGAGGCTAATCTACACGCGATATGTGGACTATGCACAATCACGTGAGGCGCAGGTGAGTGATTACCGAGGCGATTGTGCACGAGCGACATGCAAGGGGCGCGGCACATACTAGAGATCACTGACCACCAATGCGACTGGACTAGACTTATGTACTCAGAACCTCCAGCTCTAATGGTCCTTTTTAGTTTTCAGTAATTTGACCTGATGAAATTCATCGATGGCAACGAAAAGTACGGAATATGTAAAAATGCAATACGAAAGATAGAAAATACATAGAATGGAAGTAAAAATAAATAAATAAATAAATAAAAAATAACAAACACAACAATGAACCTAAATTAACTCGACCAACCATAATCAAATCATGAAAACAAATAACATAACAAACATGTTTCATTCAACCAAATCAACAAAAGCAATCAACTACTAAACCCATTTACTTATAGTGCAGAGGCTACCAATTACTTAGCAAATCATTAACCTTAATCACATATATCAAATTGGTTTCAGTAACAAATTCAATTATAACAGTATCAATCAAAGTTAATTATAAATTAAATCTTTTAAATCATAATATACTGCAAATAGATTCAAACTGCAGAATTAGAACTTTTGAAAACTAAGCTCATAATCCAAATGTTGGGCCGAAAAAAATAAATAAACAAACTGCCGGAAAAAAATGAAATTGATTGAGATGTTGTATTCAAGACAAATTAATTCATACATATTACTATTATTTGATATTTAAACAATGAAGTGGCCATTAGGCCATATCACTACAAAATTCCAACTGCTATTCACAAACTCTATCGTACACATAATAACTGACATAAAAAAAAGGAAAAAAAAAAATTCCTAACTAATAATCGTGTTTGATGACTAATCGTGGTAGCAAACGAGCATAACAACACATCGTCTAATGATGTAAAGCTTCGACCTTTGTTCTCTTACGACCCTCGCGAGCCCTCCACTCGAAGACCTTCTCTTTACGATGATGCTGTTCATCATTTTCATGGTCCCTTTCTTTTGGTGTGTGAGTCCTCTCTTATACAAGAAAGTGCTTCTTTGGGTTTTGTTGAGATTTTGAGATGAAATGTGTGGTTTGATAAGGAAAGTGGTGATTTTATAGGGACATTTTCTTCCATAATAAAAAAAACATTTAAAAAGTAATGTGATTTCAGCTTCATCACGTTCTCTCTTTACATATACAACATATTTTTATCCTTTTATTTTATTCTCTTCCTAGAGATTAGTAATGTGGTAATTGAATTATGTGGGTTTCCCAAGACATAAGCTCGTGGGCTTCACATGAACCAATAGGAGGCCTTAATATTGTGGTAATTTATTTTATTTTCTATTTTGCTTGCTTAAGCGCAAATGTAGGAAAAAAAAAATAGAAAACTTTTTGCAATAAATAGGTGTTTATTAAAATAAAAGGGCAATTACGTAGAAGGTGGTCACGGTCACCTCACCTTGATTAAGGAAATGGAAATGGAATTAAAAACACGAAACCAAAAGTGGATATTCAATATTCACGGGCTTTTTTCTCTGTATAATGGATGGATAAAGTAATGGACTTGATGTTAGGAAATATTTTATTTTCTATGTATAATTTAATTATGGGCAATATATTATATACAATTATATTATATAAGCTATTCAATTAATTAATGGACTCAATTAAGTGATCTAAATTAATTAGAGTTCATGGGCTACATAAATTGATATGAACTTATTGAGTGGATGCCTAATATTAATAGGGTTAGGTGATAATGGGTGACCTACCCTATTAGTATATATAGACCCTCTTGGTTATGGTCCCCAATACACTAAAAAAACACAGTTTTCTTTTCTCTCCATCTGAAAGAAGACGACGATCCCATCTGAGGAATAAGACAATTTAGTTGAGGAAGGCCATAATACCAGTTGATCCAATTAATCAATCGAGTTCGTGTTCCGCAAAAGAAACTCAATGGATCCAGGTATTTCTAATAATCTTTCAGATCTAGAGCGATGTTGATTTTCCTAGAATTAAAGCATGTTCTAGGATAATTGTTATTGAATTTATATTATGTGATAGTAAATTCCTACACTTGAATGATACAATATTGGTATAAACTAATTTTGATTTATAAAGTTGAGTTTTGTCTTATTGCATGAACGAGTAAACTGAGTCTCTACTGAGTTTTACACGGTTAAGTAACCAACTTCACATAACATTGACTAGTTAATTTCACAAAATTCAATTTTCTGTTTTTTTATACCTTTTATTTTTTGTCTTTCAGCGTAAAGTAGACAAATGTTTGGTTGAAATGATTTATGGCTATGTTTGAATTGAGGGATTTGTCGAGTCTTGTGAAATATAGAGATTTTAAGTTACAAGTTCAAATCTTATATATGTTCGGATTAATAGGAAATGAGATGAAAAACGCAAAGAGAATTCATGGAGAAGAAACTAGATCTCATTTTCATTCAACAATGGCGGCACTATTCACGTACACATTTCCTAGGTTTATCTGCACTGGTAAAGGGGGGTTTTATACAATTCATGAATGATGGATAAAATGGACAAGTGTCCCAAAATCCTATCTAATCCAATGGTTGTAAATGAACTGAACTATGAGTTGTTCTTGGGACCACACATGCCTGCATGGCAATGTGGCTTTTGTTTTCACGTGAACCTTTCTCTTCTTTGTGCTTTGACCTAGGAAAACAGTTCTGCAAAGTTCCAAAACTGCTAACACTCCCCCTCAATTCGATCGAGGACATGCTTGTGACTCCCAGTTTGTTTCTTAGCCGAGAGAAGAATTCTAAAGAAAGGGGTTTGGTAAAGATATCACCAACCTGTTTAACTGAAGGAATATGGCTTACATGAAGATCACCTTTCTCTATTTTCTCCGTCACAAAATGGTAGTCAAGCTCTACATGCTTTGTTCTACCATGCATGATGAAATTAGATGCCAAAAACACTGCACTCTGATTATCTACCCAGATCACAGGAGTTTTAAACAACTTTAAACCAATTTCTGTAAGCATTGAATCAATCTAGGTCCCCTCTAAGGCTGCATGTGCCAAGCTCCTATACTCTGCCTCTGTACTTGACCTTGAGACTGAGGTTTGCTTCTTGGAGCACCAGGATATTAAGCTTTCTCCAAGAAATACATTGTAACTGTGACAGACCTCCTATCATCAACATCTGCTCCCCAATCTGAGTCTGAAAAGGCCTTGATATCAAGATTATATGTCTTCTTGAAATGTAGACCATGATCTAATGTTCCTGATAAATACCTCAGAATTCTTTTAACAACCCTTCAATGTGTATCTAGAGGACAAGACATATACTGGCTTACCTTACTCACAGCAAAACTGATTTCTGGCCTAGTCAAAGTGATGTACTGCAGTGCCCCAACCACACTTCTGTACATGGTTCCACCAACTGTTGGGTTTCCATCTTCCTTGGATAAGTGAAGAGAAGATATCATGGGAGTTGGCAAGCCTTTAGCATCTCCCATGTTGACTCTTTTCAGTAACTCCAGAACATATTTTCCTTGATTAAGATGTAAGCCTTCCCTTGTTCTGGATATTTTTACTCCAAGGAAGTGTTCTATTTCCCCAAGGTCCTTGATGGCAAACATTTTTCCCAGAGACTCTATGAAATTTTCAATCTCCAAGATATGAGTGCCTGTCACCAATATGTCATCTTCATATATCAAGACAAACAAGAAACTTCCATCTTTGTTTTTAAAGAACATTGAGCTGTCTGCCTTAGGGTCCTTGAACCCATCATTTTCAGTGCCTCCTTAACCTTGTTGAACCGTGCCCATGATGCCTGCTTTAAACCATACAAAGCCTTTGAGAGTTTACAAACCAGGTGTTCATTTCCTGTCAATTCATATTCTGGTGGTTGTCTCATGTAAATGGCCTCATTAAGATCTCCATTAAGGAAGGCATTGCTCACATCCAACTGTCTCACCTTCCAGTTATAATGAACTACTAGTGTAAGCATTATTCTTATGGTATTATGCTTAATAACTGGACTAAAAGTCTATGTAAAATCAAATCCTGGTTTTTTAGAGTATCCTTGAGCAACCAGCCTGGCCTTGTACTTAGCTATGCTCCCATCTGACTTTCTTTTGATTTTCAATACCCACTTACACCCTACAATGTTTCTTCCTTTAGGTGGTGAGACCACAGTCCAGGTTTTGTTTCTCTCTAGAGCATCCAATTCTTCATCCATAGCTGTTTTCCATTGCTTCAGACAAAGGGCATCATTTAAACTTCTTGGTTCTGATTCTTTTCTTGGACATTGTAGGCTTTGGGCTTGAATATTCCTGCCCTTGCTCTTGTGATCATTGGATGTTTTGTTCTAACTGTTTGTTATGTTTTTGTGTGTTTTTCTTGTGTTTTTATTTGCTTGAGTCGAGTATTTTTAGGTTTAGTTTGTGCGTTCCGGTCCATTTTGTGTTCGTTTTAGTAGCTTTCCGTTTTTTAGTTGTTTTTGTATATATCTCTATCTTCCTTGTGCGTTTTGGTGTTTTGTAGGCCCGGAAGAAAGAATCATTTCGTGATGTGCCGTCCAAGCCGACCGAGTCGATCGAGTCGCCCGAGTGGCCCGAGCCGTTATCGAGTCATTATCGTGCCGAAAGTCTAGTTCGCCTAGCGAACGTATTCGCCGCATAGCGAGTGTTCACAAGACTCATAGGGCCAGTCCGCATAGCGAATGAGTTTGCCGCCTAGCGAGTGTGCACAACTACAAGACCAGTTCGCCTAGCGAACTAGTTCGCTACCTAGCGAGTGCTAAATTTTTAAATGTGTGTGCACCTAGTGTGTGTTTTTGTAGAAGACTATAAATATGTTTTTTCCTTTGTATTTGGGGGATCCAACTTTCATTTTTCACTTTTCCCACTTTGGGAAATTAGCCTATGTTTTATTTTTCTCTCTAGATTAGGAGCTTACGTCATTTTCCGGGAGATTTTCCGGCGACTTCGGTTTCTTTCAAGTTTCGAGCTTTTGACTCCGTTTTTCATCGTCTACGCAATGGAAGAATGAGTATTTAGTTTTAAAGCTCTTTACTTCGGTTTTTGCTCCGTTTTTACTTATAATGCTTATTATGGTAAATTTGGATTTGATTGATGATGGAGGAAATGCTTATGCTTGATTGCTTGCTTGAGTAGATAGAGTCGTTAATTGCTCGTTGATCTCGGTTAGACGACTAGGGTTATCAATCTAATGCTCGTAGCTCATTTATCCGTATGTCGATTGATTATCATCCCGTTATGGTTATGGCATGAGACTCCGGTGATCTAGTTTGCTAATTGCTCGTCATTTGATCTTGCTTTTAATTAATTGCTCGTTTTTAAGTGCTCGATTAGTGTTAATCACCATCCAATCAATTGCTTAGAATGTTTAGGATTTTATTTTCCCTTTTTGTGATTTGGACGATCATTTAGTAGATAAAGCTCCGAATAGCCTTCCTTTGAGATCGACCCGAGTCGGGTAACTCGGTTATCCCTTGCCCATCAAATCTATACCAAACACTAACCTCTTCTTCATTTGACCTTTCTGAAGAATCATTGAGTATGGACAGCTCTACTACAAGGGGTATTCCTGGCAAGCTGGTATGGCTTCTCTGAGTTTCTGTAGTTCTACTTCTCTAAGAACTAGTCCTTCTACTTACACTAGCTCCATTTTGTTGTGTGCTTGGGCTCACTCTTCTTTCAGGGGATGAGGCTTCTTGTTGTTTTTGTTCATCCACTAGCATTTCCTTCTGTATAATGGGAATGTGAGGAAGATTCCAAGCTTTGTGTAGACTGTCTTAATCACTTTGAGCAGTCTGCTTGTTCTTGTAGGGAAAGATTGTTTCTTCAAACAATACATCCCTTGTAATGATGATCCTTCTGTTAGGCAAGAGCACCTTGTAGCCTTTGTACTGGTTACTGTAGCCTAGAAAAGTTGCTGCACAGGATCTATATTCCAGCTTGTGTTTGTTGTAGGGTCTAAGATGAGGAAAACACAAGCATCCAAAGACTTTTAGTCTCTTGTAATTTGGTTTGTACCCATACAGAACTTCAAGAGGAGTTTTTGAGTCCAAAGGCTTGCTGGGTATTCTATTTAGAAGATAAGCAGTTGTGATAAAGGCATCTCCCCAATAACAAAGAGGTAAATAAGAGTGTGCTAAGAGGGACAATCACATGTTCATTATATCCCTATGCTTCCTCTTAGCTAAACCATTCTGCTGGGGGGGGGAGGTATATGCACATGATATTCTGTGCACAATACCATTTTCTTAGAGATATTTAGACAAAGATTGATATTCTCTACCTTCATCACTTTGTAGTGCCTTAACTTTCATATTGAACTGATTTTCAACCAAGGCCTTAAAGTTTAAAAAAGCACTGTAAACATCTGATTTGGTATTCAGAGATATATCCAAATAAACCTTGAGTAATGATCAATAAAACTCATATAATATGCATATCCATTCAAAGCTTTAACATGACATGGTCCCCAAACATCACTATGAATCAATTCAAGGGGAAAAGAACAAGTATGCTCAGAATGATCAAAAGGAAGAGAGTGGCTTTTTGCCGTAATGCATGATTCACATAACACATTGTCATTCTTGGCCTTATAATCCAAGTTACATGATCTCAAAGCTTTCTTAACATTCTCATAATTAGCATGACCGAGTCTTTGATCCCATAAATCAAGGCTATTACAATCATCAATCTTAGAAAAATAAGAAAATGGCTGAGAACTAAAAACTTGCTGATTCTCTTTACTTGATGGAGAAGGCACAAGCAAAAGATTGTTGTTGTTCTTCATGCACTGTAAGTTGAATTGGTAGAGACCCTCTTTAAGTATTCCATTGAGCAAGACCACTTGGGTTGCCTGGTCCTTAACAAAACATGCATTTGGGTGAAACTCAAAATATACCTTATTGTCCCTTGCAAATTGGGATACACCGAGAAGATTTCTACTTATTTGGGGAATATGCAAGAGGTTTTTAAGCACAAAGATTTTTGAATGACCAGGTAGTTGAATGAGAGAATTACCATATTGAGAGATAGATGCTCCTTCCCTCATTACCCATTAGGAGCTTACTTCCACCATTATACTCAGCTGCAATGTTCAAGTTTTCTAGCTCATTTGTCACATGGTTGGAAGCCCCTGAGTCTGGGAACCAGCTGCTTTCAGAACCTATGTTAGAATAGGTATTTGCTCCATGAACTTGCACCATGTTGAGAGTGGGATTCCTTCTTGGGGTTTGTTGACCACTTTGGCTGTTTCCTTGATTGTTGTTGACCTGGGATTCGTATCTGTACCAGCATTTGTCATTGAGGCCTATTTCCTTGATTTCTGCCACGGCCTCTTCCTCTATATGAACCTCTTGCCCCTCTCCCACCTTGATTTCCATTTCTGTTTCCCTTGAACTAAGTGAAGTTTGGGTTGAAGATTCTCTGTGTGCCTTGAGTGACCACATTTGCATAAGGCTGTGAACCTTCTGAGTTAACAACTGCACCCTGGTTTATTTCAAGCCTAGACTCATAGATGAGGAGTAGAGCATGAACTTCAGCCAAAGTGTGTGGTGGAAATCTTGAAGTCACATTAACAACAACTGAGTCATATTCATGCCCTAATCCAGTCAAGATGTGAAGAATATGGTTTTGTTCTGAGACCTTTTCACCTGCAATGGCAAGAATATCACAGTGGTTTTTTATTCTGTTAAAGAATTCCCTCATGGACAGGCCTGCTTTCTTCATAGCCTGAAGTTTTAGCTTGTACTGCATGATTCTTGCAGAGACTGACTGGCAAAGTTGTTCTCAATAGTCTCTCATATCTCTTGTGCAGTATTTAAACCAACCATCTGTTTATTGTGTTTTTGTGCATTTTTCTATGTGTTTTTGTGTGCTTTCGAGTCGATTCTAGGATTGTTTTAGGGTTGACCGGTCCATTTTGTCGTTTATCGTGTGTTTTTATGCTTTTCTTTTTATTTTATATTTTGGCGTACTTTTCCGTGTTTTTTCTGTTATTAATTTCAGGTGTATTCCAGAGATGGAGAGAGAGAATCGAGTCACTTGCCGAGATACGAGCATTTCCCGAAGAAGTTGAGTATTCGAGTAGTTTCAAGCCATTCCGTGCGAGTTGTTGATTGAACCGAGATGTTGGAGCCCTAGTCGATCCCCTACCGAGATGTCACCTAGCCTTGCCGTGAGCCCGCCACTACTCCCTCGAGGTCGAGAGTGCTCGTTTTTCTCTACCATTGCACACTCTCGAGCCCGCCGGTATTTCCTCGAGGTCGAGAGTGTTCCTTTCCTTCACCATTGCACACTCTCGAGCCCGCCAACACTTCCTCGAGGTCGAGAGTGCTCATTTCTTACCATTGCACCCGGCGCGTGCCCGCCGGCGTTTCCTCGAGCTCGAGAGTGCCGTTTTAATTATGCATTTTTTTAGTGCGTGTTTTGAGTAGAGTATAAATACTTTTGAGCCTTTGCATTTTGGATTATCTAGCTCATTATGAAATGTTTCCCTTTTTGGTTCTTAGCTTAAGTCTTTTATTTTCTCTCTAGAGTAAGGTGGATGCTCTTTACTTTTTCCGGCGACTTTTTCCGGTTACTTCTCGTTTATGCAAGTTTTAATCTTTTTCTTCTGATTTCGATCAAGCATGCGTTAGGGATGTGAGTACTTACTTTTAAGCCTTGTGATCTCAATTATCGTACTTACTTGCTATCTCGTGCGTAGAAGTAATTAGGGCTTGCTCTATTATCGGATTTTTAGTAGCTATTTTAGTTATTTTCGTTTCCCTTGCTTTTGTGAACTCGTTTATGATGCTTGGGGTTGATTGAGGTGTTGATTGCTACTTGAAAAATCGTGACTTTACTTTTAGCTCGGTTATTCCGTGGTAGGATTTCGGCTTTGGTTCCTAAGCATGCTAAATGGAGTTCGTTTCTCTTACTTTCGCTTTTGTTGCTTTTGTTTTTGCTCACCGGATTGTTGCTAGAATCCCATAGTTCGTTCACTTTCTCGTTGCTCGTTTACTTGCTTTTACTAATCGTAATTAGTGTTCCTCAACCCAAAGTGATTAGTATGTTTAGGACTTTATTTTCCATTTTTGTGATTTGAGCGATTGAATAGTGAGTAAAGCTCCGAATAGCTTTACCTCGAGATCGACCCGAGTCGGGTAGCTCGGTTATCCCTTGCCCACCAAATTTATACTAAACAAATGGCGCCGTTACCGGGGAAGGCAAGTAGGACGCCTAATTTGCTATTTGATTATTCTTTTTTCTCGTGTTTCTCTTGTTTCGTGTGATTTTGCTTAATTTCCGTATTTCTCTTTATTTCTCTTGATTTTCTAGGTAATTTTTTGTTTTAGCTTGTGTTTTCAATTTCGATTTTTCCCTTGCTTTCCATTGGTGCGTTCACGGGTATAGTTTGTGGTTTTGTTTATGCAAGGTAAACGAGGGCGTAAACCCCGAGAGGAGCCACCACCATCCGACCTCTTCGTTGAACTCAATATCGAAGAACCACAACCCGAGCCTGAAATCGAACCAATAGCGGGACAAGAAGAACAATTGCCACCACCACCTCCCGCGAACATGAGATATTTTGCACGGCCTATCATTAGAGACAACACTTCATGTATCGTGCTCGGGGAGGTGGCCCGTAACTACGACTTTAAGATCATTCATCTAAACCAACTCCCGTCATTCTATGGCCTTCCCCAAGAGGATGCCCTCAATTTCATCAGAGACTTCTATGCAACCGTCAACACATTCCCTCTCCAAGGTCTAACCGAGAACCAACTTCGAATGAGATGCTTTCCCTACACGTTGAAGGACTGAGCCAAGACTTGGTTCATGACCTTGCTCCCGAATTCGCTCACAAATTGGGAAGCCGTGTATGAAAAGCTTATGGGAAAATACTACTCACATCAAAAGACTACCGATCTCCGGACCCAAATCGCAAGCTTTAGCCAAATTGTAGGGGAGACCTTCCACGAGGCATGGGAGCGGTTCAAGGGATATCAACTTCAATGCCCCCATCATCACTTTTGCCTCGGGGTGCTAAATCAATTTTTCTATGACGGTCTCCACCAAACCCTCAAATATATGGTAGACCATGCGGCCGGAGGGGATATCGGGAGTCACACGGCCGAGGAAATCTAAGAGCTTTACGAGATGTTGAGTGAGAAGTCCAACGGAAGAGCGCACATAAGAGGACCCCCGTAAATGAAGCTACACCATCCGCCGGGTCTTCAAACGATGCCGTTCATGCCAAGCTAGCCTCGTTGGAGGAGGAACTTAAACAACTAAGGTTGAGAGATGTGAAGTCCACTCAAGTTGTTATGGCCGAGGTATGTGGTTGTTGCGGTGAGACGGGGCATAGAGGCCATGAGTGTCCACGCTATATGGAGTCGGCGTATGATCCTAACCTTGAAGGAGTTCTCTACGATATTAATGCCATTCAAAGGTACGCCCACCGGGTACAAAATGATCCCTATTCGAATACGTACAACCCCAGGTGTTGAAATCACCCTAATTTCTCATGGCGGGACCCGAAAGCGGGGTATGCACCCCAACCAGCTCCACAACAAGCATATTCCCAACCTCAACAATATGCACCACCCAACAACCGACCACCATTTCAACCGAGGCCCGAATTCCAAGGATATCAACTGAGGCCCGAGTTTCAAGGGTAGCAACAAGGGCGTGGAGGGTTTGTCCCGAGACAACCAATGCCACCTCCGCCGGAGCCCGAGAAAGAAGTTAAGGCACCTACCTCGGACCCTTGAATTGATAATATGGAGAAGTACCTTGAAAGCCTCGCTTCAACTGTGTCCACCCTTCATGAAACGGTCAAGGGCGTACCTTCAATCCAAGCTTCTCTCAAATGCCTTGAGACACAAATGGGGCAACTTGGGACGTCCATTGGTGAGATGCAAAGAAACAACAAGAAGGACCGACTCCCGAGCAAGCCCAAGTTTTGACGGTTTTACAAAGTGGTAAAGTGGTGGATAATCGAGTTGAGATGCCTAATGATGGGATGGTTGAGGATGTTGATGAAAAGGATGACGAGGAAGAGTTGAATGTTATGACGGACTCCGGGAAGAACAAGAAGGTGATGATCGAGGAGGAACTGAAAGAGAAAACCAAACCCGATAACCTTGATACCTTGCACAAGTCGGCTACACCATACCGCCCACCGGTACCTTATCCGAGTAGACTCCAAGACACCAAGAGGAACCGCCAATTCAAGGATCTATTCGACATGCTTTCCAAGGTAAATGTGAACCTTCCTCTACTTGATGTGATAAAGAATGTGCCGGCTTATGTTCAATTCTTTAAAGACTTGGCCTCGAAGAAAAAGAGGTTTGAGGATAATGAAAAGGTGATGATCTCCGAAGTTACTTCCACCACAATTCCGAGGAAATAATGTGACCCCTGGGGTTTTGTGATCAAGATAACCCTCGGAAACGGGAAAGAGACGAATGGAATGCTTGATTTGGGAGCCGAGATCAACTTTATGCCATACTCGATTTTCAAGCAATTGGAGTTGGGAGATCTCAAAGCTACGAGGATGTGTTTGCAATTGGCGGATCGTACACTACGCTACCCGAAGGGAGTTATTGAGGATATTTTGATTCGGGTAGGCAACTTTATTGTCCTAGCGGATTTCGTGGTACTTGACGTGGGAGAGGTCCCAAATACCGGGAATGAGCACATCATCTTGCTTGGCCGTCCGTTTATGGCCACTACCAACACTCTCATCAATGTCAAAGATGGGCGAGTCACCTTATCGCTCTCGGTGAAACGGTCACTTTTACAATGAGCGAGGCAAAGACAACACCTTCGTTTACCGAGAGTTGCTCATATGTTGATGTGATCGAGGCAGAGGTCCACAACCTTTTCCATGCCGATGTCTTTTGTGAGTGCGGAGTTCCCAAAGAAGAGGAGCCGGAGAAGCTTGATCCCGAAGAAGAAGGTGTGGTGGATCTTATTGAGATTTCCAAAGAACCCGAACCCCGGGAAATTTTCGACCGAGCTTAAACCGTTACCACCACACCTCAAGTATGTTTTTCTCGAAAAAATGAGAAGAAGCACGCCATCATATATTCGGGACTCTCGAATGAGGAGGAGAAATTACTTGTGGATGTCCTAATGTCGAACAAGGATGCTCTCCGGTGGAGTTTGAGTGATATCAAGGGGATAAGCCCGGCCACATGTATGCATCGAATTATTCTTGAGGATGAGTCAAAGCCTATCCGGGAAGGTTAAAGGAGATTGAATCCCACGTTGATGGAGGTGGTAAAAGGGGAGATTCTTAAATTGCTACAAGAGGGGATCATTTATGCCGTGGCAGTTACTGAATGGGTGAGCCCCGTACACGTGGTCCCGAAGAAGAGTGGAATTACGGTTGTGGAGAACAACAAGGGCGAGCTTGTACCAACAAGAGCCACAACGGGGTGGCGCATGTGTATCTATTTCCGAAAGCTCAATGCCGCCACAAGGAAGGATCACTTCCCTTGCCGTTTATTGATCAACTTCTCGACAAGCTAGCCGGCCACCCCTACTATTGTTTCCTAGATGGATTATCGGGGTACTACCAAATCCCGATTGCCCCGGAGGATCAACCAAAGACCACCTTCACATGCCCTTTTGGCACTTTTGCCTTCCGGAGGATGCCCTTTGGGATTTGTAATGCTCCCGCCACGTTTCAAAGGTGCATGTTTTCTATCTTTTCGGATATTATTGGTGAATTCATTGAGATATTTATGGATGATTTTTCCGTA